CCACCTCCGTGTGTACACATCATCACACACACACACACACACATGCAGGTGCGCGCGCCTGCGCGTGAGCTCACGCTCGAGGTTGCCATGCTGAGATTGATTGATTGATTGATTGATTGGGGAGTGGTCGCCCCCCGTGCGCACACTCACACACACACACATCATCATTGGGGATTCAGGGGTTAGCCGGCCCGTTCGGCGGGCAACCCGCCTGCCCCCAAATTATTTATTTATTTATAAATATGTACATAACTAGAACACCACCTCCTTATCACATCTGCCCGCTCCCAAAAAATAAAGACAAAAAAAAAGAAACAAAACAATGAAAGTCGGCGTTCGGCCGAGCGTTGTTGGGGGGGTGAATGTTCGGCCGTTCGGGTTCGGCAGTTCGACCGAACCCGAACGCCGGCTACCCAGACAGGGATGATGACCGAACGTTCTACTTGCGGGAAGATGGTAGCTTCACCCAAAGTCCAAGCAGACAAGCACTCACTCCGCCATGCCAAATGTTCGGCCGTTCGGGCTCGGCAGTTCGGCCGAACCCGAACGCCGGCCACCCTGATGGGGACAATGACCGAGCGTTCTACTTGCGGGAAGATGGTCGCTTCACCAAGAATCCAAGCAGACAAGCACTCACCCAGCCATGCCAACTTGCCAGGATGCAGAGCGCCACAAAGAACGCCCAGTCATTATCCCTGTAACTGGACTGAAAGTTGTCCCAAATACAGCTACAAAGAACCACGCCTGGCAACTTGGCATGCCCCTTAAACCACCAGTACCCTTCCCCGCTTGAAAATCAATTCCGTGCCGGTATATTTGGAAGCCAAGTGGGATTGGGCCGCCATTGATAAATTTGATCGGCGGCCTGTTTTCCGTTTCGGGCCTTTTTTTTTCTGCCTGCGGCCGATACATGGGAAAGGTACTGGTGGTTTAAGTGAACCGTAGGTAGGAAGGGGAGGAAAGGAAAAAACACAAGGTGGGGGGGGAGGAGGAGACAGACGGTTTTGCGGGGCTTCTGCGGGCTCGTCAGGAGGCTTTGAGCCCGCAATAGTTCGTACTACTCTGTCGAAAGCTCTATTCATCGCAGTTTATACACGTGGGCGACGTGTTATGATATTGCACGAGATTGTGACAGGAATATATTTTGTGAAACTTGAGAATTGTTTGCTCATTTGATCTGTACACTGTTGTTGGCTACATGTGAAAGCAGATATCAAGACTCTGGAGTGATGGTGCGAATTGTGGCAGCGAAGCTTTCTCTCGGTACGCAACCTGATGAGGAGGCGTAGACTATAGAAAAGTGTGTGCACGTGTGTGTGTGTGTGTGTGTGTGTGTGTGTGTGTGTGTGTGTGTGAGAGAGAGAGAGAGAGAGAGAGAGAGAGAGAGAGAGAGAGAGAGANAGAGAGAGAGAGAGAGAGAGAGAGAGAGAGAGAGAGAGAGAGAGAGAGAGAGAGAGAGAGAGAGATCCTGAGGCAGACAATCGATGGGAATGGATGATGGTGTACCTGCTAATGTGTGAGGGACGGTGATAGAGGTTATCTTTTTTTGTTTTTTCTTTTCCATAGAGGTTATCGTAATCCAGGCAGAAGCTGGTTGCTTTGCCGATCAAGAGCATCAGCAGAGGAGCCGCTGGCTGATGGGTGGGTTTGGCTTCCAAAGGTGCTTGCCTCTCTTTACACTGCAGGAAGCAATGGCTGGAACATCCTTAGGAGAGGGGGAGGGAGTCAACCGAGGACTTTTAGGAGACGGAGGCGGAGGGGGAGGGGGAGGGGGAGGCGAAGAAACTATGTGGCCGCGATGATAGGACAGATCGACAAGGAGACAAACGGACATGTACTCTGTTCGCTGGGTCCGCACGAAGTCACAGTTTTTGCTTTCCTTCTTTATGACATCGTTTTGTGTATCGGAGAGAGAGAGAGAGAGTTTGTCGTAAGTCGTCATTTGCGTTCATCTCTGCGCACTTTGTGCTCAGCTTAGTGTCTTCTTTCTTTAGCTAATGGCTTTTGTTGCTTGCCGATGTCGACCTACCGTTTGTTGTTATTCCCCACTCTTGTTGCTGTATTAAATTGTGGCCAGGTTTTTGTACTTTTAAGTTTTAACTGACACTTCGTTTTCACACCACCAATCAATTTCTCCAGAACTTGCAGCCATATCACTTTCAGCAGGTCGATCAGGTCAGCAGTTCGTCAATGATTAATAACAACTGTGGACTGTACTTGACAATTTTGATCCTTTTTTAGTATTTAAAAAAAGGTTCCCTATTGGACCACAGCTGCCTAGTTGCGTCCTCATTTTGGGATTTAGTTTTTTTTATGCCTGTCAGCTGAACAGTTCTCTACTGAAAAGGTGTGTGCGACCATGCAAGTATGTGTAATACATATTCCTAGAGAGAGAGAGAGAGAGAGAGAGAGAGAGAGAGAGAGAGAGAGAGAGAGAGAGAGAGAGAGAGAGAGAGAGAGAGAGTTGTGATGTATGTGCGTCCATGCAAGTATGTGCAATACATATTCCTAGAGAGAGAGAGAGAGAGAGAGAGAGAGAGAGAGAGAGTACTGATGCCTAGATCACACAATATCATTCACATGTGGTGGTGGGCTCCAGGTGATGATTGAGCTTTTTATCATTTGTGAACTGGCACTGGTGTGTAACGGCATGTGGATCGTCACGGGTGGTGCAGCATTCGATCAGAGTTCCTGTTCCGTTGAGAAAGTGTGGTGGATAGCAGATTATGGCAAGGGGGGATGAACATGGAGAAGAGAGAGAGCAGGCAAGGTCAGGTTGCTGTGAACCAAGGACAGTGGTGTATCAGGTTATCCACGAAGGTAATCCGAATTGCGTTGTAAAAAGAATCGGACTGCATCTGATAACCTTGTGGGAGTTCAGGTTGTGAATGTCTGACCACCGGAAGAGGGAGGAGGGAGGAGGGATCCCGTTGATAAAAAGGATGGCAAAGCAGGGAGGAGGAGGGATCGCCGCAGTGCTGGAAGCGGTTTTCCCGCTGTGGGAGGATCGTCGTCGTGGCTGTCAGCGGAGGAGGAAATGTAACGCCATTGCGTCATCGTCATTGTCGCTTACGGGCCAAGATAGCAGGTGTTCTGCCTCTCCTCTTTGTCCACAAGATGAGCAAGTACGAGTGGATACTAAAGACCGCTGCGATGTGGTCACTTCACATGGACTCGCCACGTCATCAGCCGAGAGGTCGAGGGCAGAAGGGTCCGGGGGAGGAGTGGAAGGAGGGAGAAAAGGAGGGGGAGGGGTAGGAATCGGAATCGGAGAATGGTGGTGGGGCAGCTATGGTGGTGAGGGTCTGGAGAAACGGCGACAAGATGGCGGCATGTACTGTCAGGGGGAGAGAGGCGCAGGGGGTACTAAAGCGAGGGGAAAAGTGAATGATAAGTGGAGGTGGAGATGGTGGTTGGAGAATGGCAATCGAGGTGTTCAGACAGTGAGAAGAGGTAACCCCCCTGCATCCCCTGGGCATAATGGCTGTGATGTTGCCTGTGTTCGCAACCGAGAGGAAGGGGTGGAGAGTGTGGGGGCAGGAGGGGGGAGGAGAGTATTATGGCGTGCTGTCACACGAGCCCTTAGGCAAGCTGTTCCAGATTCTGTCTGCTCTGATGCCATGGTTTCTGAAGGGTCATCACCAGAGTTGCTCGGTTCAGCGATGTCGAAAAAAGGGAGAAAAAGAGAGGACGATCCCAAGGATGACCACGATTGTGGATGGGGCAGGTTTGGTGGGAGCCGCAACGACACGGATCACGACTCTGTTGTCGCGACGAAAGCGAATGTAGGAATTGCGGCGTGGCGCACAGCGGCGTGGGCATCGATTGTAGTGGCCTCAAACCCGGCCTTTTCAGCATGTGTGGATGTAAGCGGTCGTGACCCCGATCTTGGTATGACCCGCCCTGCTGAGGTTGATGAGGATGGACTTCCGCTACCTTCCTCGTCGCTGTCGCTGATGACGAGAAAGGGAGCAGGAGATGGAGGGGGAGGTGGAGGAGGGAGGTCGCCGAGACGAAGTGGGGAAGCGGGAGGTGAAACGAATAACCGGTTGGCGGATGGCACGATCTCTGAGGGTGACGCAGTCCATTTGAGGAGACGGTTGCGGACGCAAGTTGTCGACGGATTGGAGGGGAGTATGCAACCTTACATTGGCTATGGGGATGGTGGGGGCAAGGAACAGGAGGATATGGTGGCCATAAGGAAGACGCTGCCATCTTGTGAAGAGAAGTTGGTCCTTGGGATCACGGCAGGTTCCTCTGCGTTGGGTCGGAGAAGGGAAGGGGTGGAGGACGAAGAGGTAGAGGAGGATGAGGAGGGGGAGGATGACACTGCGGAGGGAAGGGGCCCCTCGTCAGGGCTGCGCATGCCATGGTTTGCGCCAGATGGTCCTGCGCAGCGACGGCAAAGCTTTTCAACATCCATGTCCCTATCGGAACTGGTTGCCGGGAATCGGAGGACCCTACCCTTGTGGGAGCGCAATGGAAGGAGGTGGCGACAGTATGTCTGGGATGGCAGGAAGCTACAGACTGTCGATGTTGACGTCAATTCCAAGACGGAGACAGAGAGGGAGGACGAGGTTGGGGACGAGATGGACGAGGAGCGGCAACAGTCAAAAAGAGCTGGCAGTAACGCGTTGCTCTTGGCTCTGCAGAGCCGCCTGCGAAGGGCTAGGAGGGGCGTGCAGAGTGTCTTTGTCCCTGAGGATGTCACTCCCGATTATTGGGAGTACATGAGGTGGAGGATCACGCAAAGAACGATCAGCTCTTTCAATCATGTCAATGCCACACAGTCTCTGTTGAGAGCTGTAGGTGTCGGTAGTAAGAAGATATTGCCGACTGCGGCGGCTGTGAATTGGGTTTTGAAAGACGGGCTGGGGCGCTTAGGAAAGCTCGCTTATGTAGCACGGTTCGGTCGAACACTGGACTCTGAGCTGAAAAGAGTGCGGTTTACCACCTCCCTTCTCTTCACTCTCAGCCTGGGAATGGAAATGACCACACCATTCTTCCCCCAACTCTTTCTCCCGATCGCGACCCTTGCTAACGTTGGCAAGTCCATCGGATTAGCTGCATACGTTGCGACCACCCCTTCGATGAACAAGAGCTTCGCGTTGATGGAGAACATGGCGGACGTGGCGGCCAAAGGCCAGGCGCAAACGGTTGTAGCGGACAATGTGGGTCTTGCTCTGGCAGTGGGGTTGAATGCAGCTATCAAGGACGATAATCTGCGCAGGATCATGCCCCTCACTCTCTACCCTGTGCTCGCATCATTGGACCTTTACGCGATATGGAAAGAACTGAAATCTGTGCATCTGAGGACGCTCAACAGGGAGAGGATGGAGATCATCGTGGACAAGTGGTTGAAGTCCAGGGAGGTGCCCAGCGCGGACCGCGTGAGTGATCGTGAACAGCTGTTCTGTCCAAGTTGGAATCATTTTCCAGATCTGCCTCTCACGATCGGCGGGCTCAGCAAGGCTGTGTCTAGTCCGTCGGATCTTTGCAATCTGCTCTTGTCCACCGACCCTCTCAGAAGCAGTCGAAGATACAACCTGTCGATGGCAGACGTATCTGGACTTGCGGCTGTTGTCAATCCACTGGCATGGATCTGTCATGCGGGGAAGAGGAGGGTGCGTGCACCTCGCAAGCAGCTCGTCCTCTCATTCCGAGACGACGCGGAAGCCACGGACATCATTAAGGGAATTTTGCATGCTGGTTGTTTGCGCTCTCTTCTGCGGCCTGCCTATGACCAAGGAGGAGACGGAGGGGGAAGCGCGAACTGTGCCCTCTCCTCTTCTCCGTCGTCGGATTCTTCTCCTTCTGCTGCTTCTGTTCGTCAGCGAGTCCGGGAAGAATCAGCTCACACTCGTGCGGCGAGAGAAGGGGGATGGGTGCAGAGCCGTCCTGCGAGAGGGTCAGATAAGGACAACATGCATGAATCTGGATGCGATAACCTGCCGGGCTACAGCACCAGCAGCTCACAAGAAGAGAAGGGTGGTGGGGACGGGCGGCCGGGGGATTGGGCTCTTTCTCCTGGAAGCAGATCGATTGATCAGGCCCTGGAGGAGAGTAGGAGGATGGCAGAGAGGGAATTCGAGCCATTGATGTCGGCAATGGCGGAAAAGGGTTGGCAGACAAAGATTGTGACTCTGGCATCTGCTGAAAGAACCACGTTTAGTCTAGTTCGTGGTGGACACGAAAAAATGGTGAAAAAGCCACGCCACCACTCTCCCAGAGTTCTCCGGTCGGTCTCTTGATTTCTCTTCTGTCTCTGACAATGGCTGTGTTCCACGGGATGCGGAGTGGATGCCACGTGTGAGAACAAAGCGAGGCCACACTCACAGCGAGTTCTTCTGTCGATCTCTTGATTGCCGTGGTCTCTGAAAACGATCACTGTGTGTTCCGGGGAAGAGGAGAGTGCATGTCGTGTGTGTGACGAAAGCTGTGCACGTCACGCAGAACTCTTTGATCATCGTTGTCATCGCTGACGACGGCTGTGTTCCGTCCGAGAGAAAGGACTGAGTGCCTTGTGTGCAAAGAAACCTGCGCCAGTCACGCAGAGTCCTTCCTTCACCGGCCTCATGATTGTCGATCTCTGTGACGACGACGACGACGACGACTGTGTTCCAAGGAGAGGAGCGGATGCCATGCGTTTGGAAGGGAGAAACGTGCATGCCATCCTCTCCGCCATGACAAGAAGCTTGTGGCTATGGCTTCTTGTGGGTGAACCACTTTTCTCGTCTGGTTTGCCGCCGGCATAACAGAAGGAGCAGCCATGCCAATCACCTATAAGACTATTGAGAGTATTGGGGATTGGCGGTGCTAAGCAAATGCTGCTTGACAGTGCTAAGAGGTGACAGTTCTAAGCAATCGCTGCTTGGCTGTGCTAAGCGGTCATAGTGCTAAGCAATCCTCCGCTTAGACTGTGCTAAGCGGTCATGGTGGTGAGCGCCCATACTGCTAAGCAATCCTGCGCTTAGCACAGTCTAGCGCAGTCTAAGCACAAGCAATTGCACAGCGCGCTTAGACCGTGAGAAGTGGTCATATCGCTAGGCAATTTCTGCTTGGTAGTGCTGAGCAATCCTCCGCTTGAATGTGCTGAGCAGCGGTCAGAGTGCGAAGCTATTTCTGTACTTGTATGGCAGTGCTGCGCAATCCTGCGCTTGACTGTGCTATCCCGCTTGGCAGCGCTGACCAATTCTCTGCGTGAATGTCCGAAGTGGTCATAGTGCCGTGCACATCCTGCTTGACAGTGCTAATCAATCCTCTGCTTGACTGTGCTAAGCTGTCAGAGTGCTAAGCGGTTCTCTGCTTGACTGTGCTAAGCGGTCATAGTGCTAAGTTGCTAACACTGCTAAGGAATTTCCTATTGACAGTGCTGAGCAATCCTTTGCTTCACTGTGCTAAGCGGACATAGTGCTAAGCAATCCTCTGCTTCACTGTGCTAAAAAAAGTGGTCATAGCGGTAAGCAATCCTCTGCTTTGAGTGTGCTAAGCCGTCATAGTGCTAAGCGATTCTCTGCTCGACTGTGCTAAGCCGTCATAGTGCTAAGGAATAGCTGCTAAGTTATTTCCTGTCGACAGTGCTAACAAGCAATTCCTGCTTCACTGTGCTAAGTGGACATAGTGCTAAGCAATCCTTTGCTTGACTGTGCTATGTGGGCATAGGTCTAAGCAATCCTTGGCTTGACTGTGCTAAGCGGTCATAGTGAGCTGCTTAGCCTGTTGGCTGTGCTAAGGAATAGCTGCTGGGCAGTGTTAAGCAATCTTTCTCGCTTTCAGGAGTTGACTTGAGACTCGAGAGGCGTAGATTGTTCCTGCTTGGCAGTTTTTTTGGTCTATAATAATGCTTCCTTCATGGCCGCGACAGGGCGGAGATGAACAGTGTTTATAGGCCAGGCAGTGCAGTGCACTCGGCGGTATGGTTATCAGCTGATCGCCGACTTGTCGGTCAGCTGATCGCCGACTTGTCGGTCGACCAATTCATTCCGCACAGGCTGTGACAGTGGGTGGGTCCCACAACAAATTACTCGAAGGAAGCGGCTCGGTAACTGAGCATGACAAGCAATCTTGTCAGAAACACTGACAGGTTGGTGCAGCAGAATGTGCGTACTGACACGGATGATGTTGGTGTCAACAAGTAGGTGGGAGGAGGGAGAGGAGGAGGAGGAGTGGGAGGAGGGAGGAGGAGGTGGTAAAGGGGATTGCAGAGGGAGGAGGCGCCAATGGAGGCGGGTGAGAAATAAGTCGTGGAGTGGCCAATTTGATCCTTGATCACAGGAGCATAGTGATGCAATCGGTCATACCCGGTGCTGGATGGGGTGGGAGGGAGGAGTGGTGCAATCACTCGTACCCAGGGCCGGATGGGGTGGGAGGGAGGAGAAGCGGTGTAGGGTGCGGGGGGTAGAAATGGAAGAAGGCATTTGCGGGTAAGAGCGAGGGTGCGGCAGCGGAGGAGGGTGAGAAGGAAGCACAGGGTAAGCCGTGGGCGGGCCAATTCAATCCTGATGCATTGTGAGATGCCGCGGGGTGGAAGAAGGCATTTGCAGCGGGAGGAGGCGGCAGCGAAGGAGGGTGAGAACGAAGCGCAGTGTAAGCCGTGTACCGGCCAGTGCGATCCTGCTGCATTGTGAGATGCCCCAGGGCCGGATGGGGTGGAAGGCGGGGGGAGACGGTGTAGGGTGCGGGGATTAGAAGTGGAAGAAGGAAGTTGCAGAGAGCAAGGAGGTGGCAGCGGAGGAGGGCGAGAAGGATGCACAGGGTTACCGTGGGCCGGCCAATGTGATCCTGATGCATTGTGAGATGGCCCGGGGCCGGATGGGGTGGAAGGGAGGGAGTGGAGATCGTGTGTGTAGGGTGCGGAGGTTAAATGTGGAAGGAGGCAATGGCAGACAGGTTTGGGAAAACAAAGATGAGAGGAAAGGTAGAGGGAAGGCAAGCTGACAGTCAATCCTCCAGGCATCTGGGGCAATCAATGCTGCTCAGGGGTCCTTCGGCCAAACGGAAGGAAGCGTGAGGGTGCTCTTTTTTTCGTTGTATGTCTGACTTGTCGGTGTGATAGGAACCGGACTGATGCTCCCCAGAATGGATATGGAGGACTAATTATGGAGGCAGGTCCACAAGGACCTGTTTTTCTTTCTGTATTAAAAAAAAAGAAAGGAGGCAATTGCAGAGGGATGAGCGGGAAGCAGAGCCGGGTGAGAAGACCGCAAAGGGTAAGTAGTCGATCGGCCATTGTGATCCTCTATCACAGGAGCCTATACTATAGTGATGCAATCTGAGACAGGTAGGGTGTGGGGAGGTGGGAGGAAGGAGAAGTGGGGTAGGGCACAGGGGGTGGGGGAAATGGGAAGGTCCTCACGGTCCTGGCTTGTCAGCTAGGGCCAGAAGAAGTGCAAGGGTGGGATTGGGCTTTTCGCCCGACAGGGCTTGGTGAAAGATTGCTCAGACACTGATCGGGGATAAAGAGTGGAGGAGGTGGATGCTGGGAGGAGATGGATGGTGACGAGGGAGTAAAGGGTTGCTTCATTGCACCTGAGCAGGCGAGGAGAATGCGAGCGTGGGGTCCAGCTTTGCCCAAGGAGGCTTGGCGAAAGATTGCTCAGACACCGATCGGGGATAAAGAGTGGAGGTGGGAGGAGGTGGGTGGTGAGGAGGGAGTAAGGGTGGAGAGAGACATGGAGTTCGAGGATTGATATCGGCCCGCAGTGCGCGGTTGGCCAGAAGGGATTGATATCAGCCCACAGTGGAGGTTGTGTTCAGTTCAGTATACTTGATTTGTCAGTCACGGTTGGTTCCATCAACCAGCAGTCCCGGACGGACGGACGGATCAATAATGACCATTCGTAGGACTGACCAAATGATATGATGTCTCCCAAAACAAGACGAATTCACAGATCGAGGTGGGAATGTGACCACCCATACGGAAACAGGACAAGCCGATAGTAGAGACAAGCGCGAAGTGATACCAGAAAAACACTTGAGATTTTTCAATTGTTTCCTATAATCCTATTTGGATTTTTGAACATTTTTAAATTGTTACTCTGACTGAGCAAGGCGAGGGAGCGGCGAGGGGGCGGCGACCTTGTACTGTGTTGAAAATTGAAAGTTCTGTCTTGATGTTATGTGCAAGAAATGGAGGGGGAAAAAAAGGGGAAAAAAAAAAAAAGACATGATTTGGGTTCTGAGATGGCATACTGCCAGTGCCCTTGAATGGCGAAAGCTCCGGACAATACCATGTCCACCATTTACTGGGGTGAGACTGAATTACATTCCTGTGTCAAGTGGAATGCTTTGAGTGATGTGGTCTGATCCTCGTTTGCGAAATGAGGAGGTAATATTACACAGCTGGCGAAAAGTGTGTGTATATGTGTGGGTGCGTGCGGGGAGAGAGAGAGAGAGAGAGAGAGAGAGAGAGAGAGAGAGAGAGAGAGAGAGAGAGAGAGAGAGAGAGG